ATTGACAGGATCGTCCTGTCAATAGCAGAAAATATTGCACTGCTGACAGGATCGTCCTGTCAATAGCAGAAAATATTGCACTGCTGACAGGATCGTCCTGTCAACAGTGTCAAAAATGGCACTGCTGACAGGACGATCCTGTCAGCAATGCAGTATTTCCTGTTATTGACAGGATCGTCCTGTCAGCAGTGCAATATTTTCTGCTATTGACAGGATCGTCCTGTCAGCAGTGCAGTATTTTCTGCTATTGACAGGACGATCCTGTCAGCAGTGCAGTATTTCCTGCTGTTGACAGGACGATCCTGTCAATAGCCTCAGGCTAATGATTAAGCTCCAGTGAACAACATGAGAGTAATCTACATTGTACATCTTCAACTTGTCCAAGCAGAGGTTTAGGTTTTGGGCTTATTTTTTATGTTTTGGGCATTTTTATTGGGCTTTCTTGTAACTGTTACTAGTATCTTTTTTTTAGACCAGCGATTTCAAATGGATACAGCCTGGCCAATTTGATACTGTCTTCGCAGCCACCAAATGATCTGCTTGGAAATTAAGAGTTTTCCTGTCATGAAAATGTTTCAAGTTTGATAAAGTAGCACTTTGCCTGCTGTGACAGACTGACCCAACTCCCCACCTGTCCCCAGGACTACCTGGATGCCTTTGAGAAGCTGCTGCAGCTGCAGCTGAAGAAATCCCAGGAACCTGAGGTCATCCACGTGCTGCTGGACTGTACCATGCAGGAACGGGGGTACAACCCCTACTACTCCTACCTGGCACAGAAGTTCTGTGACTTCGACAGGCGCTTCATGGTGAGCAGGCCTCAAAATTAACTTTTCTTCCTATTGTCCCAGCACTGTCCCAAAAAAAATTTCAATTGTCCCGAAGTGAGGATGAACTGTCCCAGCCTGTTTTTTGGGAAGTCTTGTTACTCCGTGAAGGAGGTCAGGACCTCCGGACGGAGTGTTGTAATCGGCTGATTTTTCATGTTCGCAGTCAAAACACTGGGTTCTCTTTGTGTAATCGGCACGCAATTTTATACGCCGTCTGCGGGCATGCCCGTGTTGATGCACGAATGTGTATTTTTGCCGTTGCTGCTTTCGCGGTCAATGTAATATCGCAGACGCACCCCTACAATTACGAGGCGAATTGGAATGGTCCAGAAAAACGCGTTGTTTGGAATAGCAGTGGGGTTCAAAAAAGTTCATGCAGATACGGGGTGGTTTTTATAAGTGGTTCCAGATGTTTTTGCCCATGGTTAAGAGATG